GAAGGAGAGAGAATGGAGATCGTGGAGTTGGAAGGTGATTGCCTGCACGCTGTGTCCCCCCTGCCCGTGTCGGGAAGCTGCAGCCCTGCACGCGGCCTTGTGTTTAACCCCTGCCAAAGGAGAGCTTGACCTTGGTACTGAACGCCTGTCAGCTCCAGTGAACTGCGTGCCAGCTGCTGGGAGTCCCAGGAGCCGGTCCCGGGGAGGAGCCCGGAGAGGCCCCCCAGCCGGGTCCGTCTGCCCGCCCCTTCAGAGTCTCTGGCGGGGGAAACCACGTGATACCTCCCTGCTGTGGCGTCCTGTGCACAACACACATAGCGGTTCCTGTGGATTTGTTTCAGATCATCCTTTCTTTGTCGGCGTTCAGTACCACCCTGAGTTCCTGTCGCGACCCATCAAGCCCTCCCCGCCGTACTTCGGCCTCCTGCTGGCCTCGGTGGGGCGGCTCCCGCATTACCTCCAGAAAGGCTGCAGGCTCTCGCCCAGGTGCGGCTCTTCATCTCCTCCTCATCTGCCTGCCCGTCCTTTAAGCGGCACCAGGCTGGCCACGGGGAGGTGACCCGCAGTCTCCAGCACAAGCCACCGCGCCCGGGCTGGTGTGCTCGCAGGGGGCCCTGCGTGTCCTTCCCCTTCGCCAGGGGCTCCCCTGGCTGCACTGTGGGGAAGCTGCAGGGGCGGGGCGTGCGGCCTGTGTTGCCCTTATCCCCAGCTGGTAGCTGGTCTGGGCATCACGTCATGCTGAACCACCAGTGGGGTGATGGCCCCTGTACCCGGGAGAGCAGCCCTGCAGCCCTGCACCCCGTGCTGGGGGTGGCGCGGCGAGGAGTGTGGTTTCTGCCGGGTGCAGACCAGGGTCCCCGTTGTCACGGTGGCTACGGGAGCAGGGCAGGACGGTGAGGTCCTGGTGACAGATGGTGAACAAACCGTGGGAATTCTGCAGGGACACCTACAGCGACAGAAGTGGAAGCAGCTCCCCCGACTCCGAGATCACGGAGCTCAAGTTTCCATCGATCAACCATGACTGAGTTGGGAACGTAAGTGACGTTTTTAGTTCAGGGAAAGCGAAGCAGACGGGCAGACGCTGGGATTGCAAGAATGTACGGCAGAGGCTGAGGGCGCAGGTGTGGCCCGCAGAGGGTGTACCCTGCCGGTGGCCACAGTGGGGGCGTCCTGGGGCGCGGGGGTCTTGGGCCCTGTTGTTTCTTGTGGCTGCGAGCCTGGAGCAGGGGAGGAGGCAGCAGTGTGTCCGTGAGTCCCAGGCACCTTCCCAGCCTCAGGCTTCCGGCGGGAAGCGCTGACAGCTGCTGCTCACAGAGCGGCTTGGCGTTGACCGCGGCTCACCTGGAAGTCCCTCCAGACCAAGCGCAGCCTTCAACGCTTGTCTTCAGACTGACCGGGTCTTGAGTTGTGGTGTGCAGTAACCACGAGCGGCGACGTGAACTGGGAACCCTTTAGACCCAGAGCGGACTGTGTTGGCAGAGATTCTGCTGGTGGGGGGCTGCAAAGGGCTGTCTGGTGGGGACCCAGGCCGCTGGGGCTCCCGCCGCATGGCCTGGGCAGGTGGACCTCCCTGGGCGCCAGTGGCCTCTGCTGCTGGCGGGGGCCGGTGCAAGCTGGGGACCGCGGTCCTGCGCCCTTCTACCTTGCCGGCTGGCCTCCCGAGCGACAGCGACTGTAGCGGCGGCGGTGGGCTCTGAGGAGCGAGTGTCAGGAGTAGGGCCGGGTGGCTGACTGGGCCGCCATGTGGGGTTTCTGGGTGCCCTGCCGGGGAGAGCTGCCTGCAGGGGCGCTGGTAGGCGGCTGGGCACTGTGCAGAGCAGCGGCCCGCAGCGGTGGGGTGGGAGCCGATGGGGTCGGGAGTGGCCCCCGGCTGCGTCAGGTGCCTACGAGTACCCTGGGAGACGGGCAGTGACCGCCGGGGCAGTGGCCTGTAAATGGTAACTTTACTGTGCAGACATCCTGTTGAATGCTAATTTTTTGTTTCACACAGGGACGATTCGTTGAGAGCCTTCGGACTTTAAGTTTACAGCTTGGATTCTACACTTGGCTTTTGACACTTCCTTTAAATTATGTTTTTATTAAGATTATTTTATTACGGGGAAGGGTATCTGGAAACCTTTGGCACGTGCATGTCCCACCACGTGTGCTGGCCCCTCCGCACGTGCACTGCCTGTTGGACACGCGCTTCTTTTGCAGTCGAGCGTTGGGACGAGAGGCCGACGCCCGGGGCTGGCGGAGGACCCATCACCGCCGTTTCTCCAACTACCTCGTGTCGCTGTGGATCTGCAGGTGCCGCGCGGGCGGCTCCGTCACCCAGGGCCGTTCTGGCCGGGACCTGAGGGTGCTGCTTGCCGCTGAGAGCAGGGGAGTCTCAGAACCGCCTGGGGTTGGAGCGTGGACCGGTCCATTTGGCATCACATGAAGGAGAGTCTGTCTCTGAAGACAGACTCTGCCTTTACATCCGCGCTTCCGCCGGGGCTGGGCGCTCCTTGCATCAAGGGGTCACTCAGCAAGCACCAGGGAGCTGGGGAGACTGCGCTGTGGGCCCCGGCCACTCAGCGGTACTCGGGCACTGTTCTTCCAGGGCGGTGTGACTGCAGCTGGAACGCATCAGGAAAGCTATTTTCTTAACTGACGGGACGGGGAGCCCAGCCGCGTGCCGCTGGCCGCCGGCCGGGCCTGGGCTATGCTCTAACTTAAGAAATAAATCCCACAGAGCAAGAGATGGCTTGGTTTGGTGTCTGTGCCACTGCCTGGAGCAGGCCTGCGGGCCCAGCGTGCTGCATGCAGGCCCGAGCTGTGGGTGCTGGGCTCTCCTGCAGTGAGCATCCGGCAGTTTGTTGTAAAAACTAAGGGACGAGCTTTTTTGTTAATAGGATCCAGAATTTTCCAGAAGGCTTCTGATGGGAGGGAAGCAGCAGGGGTTATGGGGGAGTCCCCTCTGCAGACACCCCCCCGTGGCAGGGAGCAGCGGAACACAGGCCTCCCCAGCGCTTCCTCTGGCCGCAGCTTCCCAGCTAAAGGTCACTGTCCCAAGGGTCTTCCCCTCCAGAGCGAACAGAGGGGATGTCGGTGCCATTGGTGCCCACTCACCCTCCGGCCACCAGGCAGCAGAAGGGCTGAGCTGGCTGCGGCCCATCCCAGTCCTTCAGTCCCTGGTCTGCGCCCCCGAGAGCAGGTGGCGGACGGCCTCCTCTCCGAAGCTCTCCGTGCTGCTCTCGGTGCTCGCAGTGTGGCCCGCTGGGCCTGCGGTCCCGCTGTGCCCCCGAGACAGCGAGGGTTTGGGCCAGTGTGGGTGCTTTACCTTTGAGCTCTTGTGTTCCTGCCCATCGAAGGTGGCCCTGGCAGGCCAGTCAGGTGCAGGGACCCCAGATGGCTCCCAGGGCTTGCAGAGCTCCGCCTGCCCCAGCACCCCGGCTGTGGCATACAAGACTGCCAGCTGCCAGGACCGGAGCTGGGCTGCCCACCTTCCAGGCCTGGTGTCGGCGATCCGTGCCTCAGCCTGCTTCCTCTGGGTGCTCTCAGAAACCCCCCAGTCTGCGGGCTGGAGCAGCCCCGCCTTTCCAGTTCACCAGCTCAAGCCCCCCAGGCACGCTCCTGAGGACTCGCCCCCAGTGCGGAGCCTGGTGCTGGAGCCTGCCCAGATGCCACCTCTCTGACCGGCCCTGGGGATTTGGGAGCTGTCTGGACACACACATCTGTGGTCACATTTGAAGAACCCTGTGACCAGTATGAACCGTGTCCAAGGCAAGGCTGCATCCTGTTGGCTAAGTGAGAAAACCAGCTCTCCAGGCAGCTGGGACCGGCCCAGGGAGCTGCCTGGCTGCCGACGGAGGGGCTGGCTGGGGTGCCAGAGCTCCATGTCTGCTCTGCGGGCGTGGCCAAGGTTAACCTTGGGAGTGGGCGGGTGGGAGGGATCTGCCACGGTGTGGTCCACGGAACCTCAGTTTACACAATGTGACAAGGCTCCGGGCGGGTCTGGTGGCTCAGATCCAAAATTTAGGAGTATTCTTTAAGAAAAAAGGATTTATTTGAAAGGCAGAGTGACAGAGGGAGAGACAGAGATCTTCCATCTGCTGCCTCACCCCCCAGATGGCCTCAGTAGCCAGGGTTGGGCCAGGCTGAAGCCAGGAGCTTCTTCCCGGTCTCCCACATGGGTGTGGGAATCCAAGCACTCGGGCCATCTTCCATCGCCTTCCCAGGCACATCAGCAGGGAGCTGGGTCGGAAGCAGAGCAGCGGGGACTCACACTGTGCCTGATCGATTGATCAGCACAGCTGGCCGCATCTGCCACATGCCAGCTATTGGTCCTGAGCCTTAGTGAGCAGCAGTCCTGAGGCCACTGAGCGCTGCAGTGTGTTACGGGGTGCGTGGGGCGGGGGGTAAAAACAAATACAAGGACTCCGTGCAACAGCACCTGGAGAGGGGATGGCAGGGTTGGGAGGGGTGTGGTTTGGGACAGGGAGGGTAGCGAAGGTGGTGAGCACAGAGATCTGGGGGCAGGGCCAAGGCCTGAGGCAGGAGTGCTCATGAAACCAGCTGGGCAGCAAGGCTGGCATGGCCTGTGCGAGGGCCGGAGGAGCTGAGCTCAGGTGGGGAGCTGCACGGAGCTGTCGGGCCTCGCTCCTGACGGGGAGCAGCATGGCCCCTGGTCATAGTGAGTCCTCGGCAGCGCCCAGAGGGGCCGCGGAGCGGCAGTCAGACCCTTGCTGCGCAGGTGCTGCTGTGCCCTGGCCAGCACAGACACAGGGCGCCGGCCCCTGCCCGCACCGCTGTCACAGGTGAAGAAACTGAAGCCAGAGGCACACAGCCCTTTGCCCCAAGCCCTTGGCCTTCAGGATAGGGCTGGGCTGGAACCTGACCGCTGGGCTCCCACCCCACAGCTCTGCAGCAGGAACCCATGCAGGCTGTGGCTTCTGGCCAGCAGAGGGCTGGCGCGGGACACAACCCAGCGGCACCTGACCTGCCGACCAAGTGTACTAGAAATAACCACTCGTGGCCCGGGGGCAAGGAATTTATTAAGAAGCTTTGACAGCCACAAGTTGCAGCAAGTAAACCAGGTCTGGACAGGCCCCGCCCCTGCCCAGCATAGACCCTGGCCTGGGCAAGCCAAACGTCCCAGGGAGGACAGCCCTGTGTAGCTCGGCCCTGGGGTGACACTGGCCATGTTTGTACAGTCCTTTCTGAAAGTGGGGTTCCTTTGGGGCCTGAGAGCAATGTCTCAGCCGCACAGATGGGGGTCTGCTCAGGGTCAGAGCCACGTGGGGACCAGCCTGTGCGCAGTGTGCTTCCCCGTCAGGAGGACTTAGGCCCAAATAGGAGCTCCCGGCTCTCCCTGCCCAGAGGGCAGCACCTGCCTGCTGCCTGGGGCCTCACAGGACACAGCAGGTGCAGGAGACGGGCCAGTGCCGCCGCCGCTGCTGTAGCTGCTCCTTCTCCACCGTCAGCACCTTGACTTTCTCCTCCAGTCTGCTCAGCTCCACCATCCACTTCTGGGGGGACAGCGCGGGAGCTGATGGCCAGGCCGCCATGCTCTTGGGCCTGTCCGCCTCTCACCTAGGGTTGAACCTGAGCCTGGGAGGCCTTGGCTTTGGGGGAGCCAGGCCCCTTGGCCATGCTGCCTATTGGCTAAGTCAGCGCTGGGGTCCTGAGGGAAGCCAGCAGCAAGCCACCCTCTGGGACCTCCCCAGGTGCCACCCGGCCACGCCCGTTCCCCTCCACCAGCCCCGCCCCACTCTTAACTCTTGAAAAGGCTTTTCCTTGGGACCATGGCCCATGCTCCTCTGCACCCTCTTGTGAGCGTCTCCCCTACAACATGGTACAGGGGCCCCTTAGTTCACTCTCCCCATCCACACAGCAATCGAGTGCCTCCACCGCTCTGACTGCAGGGGGTGGGGGTGGAGGTCTCGGGCGCTGCGGGAAGTGGGGTGTAGGTGTTTAAAAGGAGGATGCCTTGGGTCTGCCCTTTCCCCCCAGCCACAGAACGAACTGCGGTTATGTGAATGCAACCCCTCCATTGTGGTGACGCCTGAGAGCTGGCCCAAGGGGTGGTCGAGCGGGCCCGAGATGGGCCTGGGCTCCCCGGCCCCGGCCTCCTCACCTGCCTGCACCACTGCTGGATGGCACTGACAGACAGCGGGCCCTGGATGCTCCCGTCGCGCCGCAGGAACACCTCCCCCTGGTCTGTCTCGTAGAGCTGCGGCTCGCCCTGCACCTTGGGGGCGTGCACGGTCAGGCGTAGCACCTGCGAGGGGCAACAGCAACTGGGCCGCACCGCACCTGACCGTGGACCGCTGCCCAGCCACACCCAGGTCGCTCCTGCCTGCTCCCCGCCCTGGGGCTCACCTTGAGGGGGGTGTTGCTCGGGGCAGTGCTGACGACGGGGATGAAGGTGAGGGTGTAGGCGTCAGGGAAGACCTGGGGCTTGAAGCCCTGCAGGATGGAGTCCACGAGCAGGCGCGCGCGGTCCTCGTCGCGGTGGCTGCATCGGATGCCCTGCACGCGGCCGCTGTCCTCCACGCCCACCAGCAGGCTGCCACCCTCGCTGTTGAGGAAGGCGCACGTGTAGCGCCGCACGTGGTGTTTGAAGGCCAGGCTCAGGTACTCGCCGCTGCCCCGCTTGAACTCCACGTTGCGCGTCTCGCTGCCCAGGAAGGCGCCCTGGAAGAGCCGCTCCTGGCCCAGGATCTCCTGGTGCGCAATGGCGCTGTCGGAGCGCACGCCGCTGGGCCGGGCCTGGGGGCTCCACTGCGGCCGGGTCCAGGGCCCGTTGGGAGAGAGGCCTGGGGGCCGCGCGGGCTTCAGGAAACCGGAGCCTGGGCTGGGGCCAGGGCTGGGGCCTGGGCTGGGGCCGCTGTCCTCCTCCTGCAGGTGGGTGAGGTCAGGATGGATGGGCTGAGGCCAACGCGGAGCTCCCTGCCACCTCAAGGGACTGCCAGAACCCCAGCCCGCACCTGCCTGGGTCTGGCCTCCACGGGCATCCCGTACCCCTCCTGGGCTGCGGGGCCCAGTTCCACCCTCACTGTTGAGGGAGGCGTGTGGGTGAACCAGGTTCAGGGGCTCACTGCTGCCCCGCTTGAACTCCAAGCCACCCAACCTCGCGCAGCCAGCGAGGGCCAACCCTGCTGGGTCAAGGGCTCAAGCCACCTGCTCCTTTGCCCGCTGCGCTGGGCTCTCTTCCTAGGTGGGCAAGGAGAGAGAGTTCCCCTTCTCAGGGCTGGAAGCTGGGACACCTGGGGCTGACCTCGCCCATGTGGGTTGCAGATGGGCTTCTGATGCCTGGAACCGCACTGTTCCCACACTCCAGTGACAGCTGCAGGTCCCGGAACTGAGAGGCTCTGAGACCCTGCCACTCCCTGTTCCCCTGAAACCTTTGCTGACCGCAGTGGACAAGCCCGTTCCATACTCTGCCCCTCCTGAGGCCCTTCCCACAGTTCATGCTCTGAGGGCTCTCAAAACTTCCATGTTGGGGCTGGTGCTGTGGTGCAGTAGGTTAAGCCTCTGCCTGTGGCACCGGCATCCCATATGGGTGCTGGTTCAAGTCCTGGCTGCTCCTCTTCTGATCCAGCTCTCTGCTATGGCCTGGGAAAGCAGTGGAGGATGGGCCTAGTGCTTGGGCCCTTGCAACCACCTGGGAGACCCGGAAGAAGCTCCTGGCTTCAGATCAGCCCAGCTCTGGCCGTTGTGGCCATTTAGGAAGTGAACCAGCAGAGGGAAGACCTCCTTCTCCCTCTCTGGAACTCTGCCTCTCAAACAAATAAATAAACCTAAAAAAAAAAAAAAAAATCTGTGTCCTGGCCACTTCTCTGGTGTGGGCCTCACCCGGTCTCCAGGTGCTCCTCTTTCCAGCGCCCCCTCCTCACTGGCCCTAAATGCAAGTTGGACTGCTGCTCCACCGTCACACCTTTTTTCTGACTGCTGCCTTGCAGGGCTGGGAGCGCAGCCTGGACTGGGGCAGGAGTGAGAGGCACGTTCCTATGGGCCCTGCGGCTCCCCAGTCCTAGCAACCTGGTAAAACTGTCATACAAACATGAACTCGGCGCACGTATGTTGAAGAGTCAAGTCAGCGAGCTGTTTAGTTCTGCAACAGTTTTAAACACCATGGTGCTCACCCTAAAGAGAAACCCGGGTCTCCCGAGGTGATCTGCCAGTGACCTCCCACCCTGGTTAGAGCCAGCCCTTGACCCTGGCTGCGCCTTCGTCTACAGCCCACAGGGGCCTGGGCCTGGCCCCCTGGCCCAGCTTCCTTCCTTGGGGGCCCCTGCGGCCGTGGCCCGGGCACCAGGGACGTGCCAGTGTCCTGCACGCACTGCGCTGACACCTCCCTTTGCACACACAATGCACTCCCTTCTGCACGCACAATGCACCGACACCCCTCTTTGCACGTGTTCCCTGCTCAAAGTGTCCTTCCCTCATGTGCCCATCCAGCTCTCTAAGTCCCAGCCCGGATCCCACTTCCCTGGCAACTCTGTCCTGACATGGCAGCAAGCACAGCGCCTCGCCTCGCAGCCACCATGGTGACCTGCGGCTGTGCCTCACTCCTGGCACTGAGAGGGCACTGGTGTTTGCCGACTGAACAGCTGAGACAGGCCAAGGAGAAAGGTCTGGGCCCTTGTGGGCCTGAGGGCCCCGGGGCCCCGAGGCTGGAAGGCCGGAGGCCTGTTGAGGAGCCGCACACAGCAGCTGGGTGGGAGGCGCGGTGCGGGGCAGCGTCCCCCTGCGGGGAGGTGGGTGGACCTGTCCCAGGCCCTCAGAGGCCACCCACAGGCAGGCCTCTCTGGGGGTGGAGCCCCAGGAGCGGGCTGGGGCAAAGACACTCACCTCTCTGCGGCTCAGCAGGGGGCCCCGGCCCTCAGCCAGCACCAGCTCCTTCCCACGCGCCGCCACCTCCTTGACAATCAGGTGCTCCTCCAAGGCCATCTGCAGGCGCCAGGGCAGCGAGCCCAGGGCGGCCTTGGGAGTGGCCACGTGCACCAGTGCGTAGGCCTTCCCGGGCCGCCGCACCACCTCGATGTCCTCCCGGGCCACTGGCAGCTGCAGCCGCTCCAGGGTGTCCCGCAGCAGGCAGGCGAGCACAGGCACGGAGAACTGGGGGTTCAGGTGGCCCACGTAGAGGGTGTGCGTGCTGGGCTCTGCCTCCAGGCCTGAGTCCTTGGGTGGGGTCTCTTCTTGGGGCAGTGCTGGTAGGGGCTGCTCACCCAGGGGCTCCATGGGGGTCTCCCACGTCTGCGTGTACACTGATCTCCTGGGGGTCGTGGAGGGTTATCCCTCCGGAAGGCTCACTGCGGGCTGCTCCGCCCAGGACCTCCTGGGGGCACTCAGCGGGCACCAAGGCTCCTGGGAGGCTCCCAGCTTGGCAGAGGCTGGGTGGGGCCACAGAGAGAGAAGGAGGGCCTGACAGCTGCTCTTGGCCTCGGATGGAAGACAGGCAGGACAGAGCTGGCGCCCTGTGGGGAGACTCAGGAGGGACAGAAGGGCCCAGAAGCCAGGTCTCAGAGGCCCTGCCGGGTCCTGTCACTGGTCCCAGGGCTCCTGCCTTCTTTTCCTGCTCCGCAGGCTCGGGGGTTTCCTGCCTGCCGGCAGAGGACTTCTGCCTCCAGACACCTGAGAAACCTTTCACAGAGGGGCTTCGGGAGAAGACAGCTTAATGTGAGACCCTGCAGCCCGGCCAGAGGCCCCATGGCTGCTTCTCCCTGCCAGCTTTAAACCCTGCTGCTCAGGGCTGCCAGCCTAGACCAGGCCCTCTTTTGGGTCCAGAGAGAAGGGGCTCTTGGGCCTCTGCGCTCCCCCACTCCAGGCCAGGAGCCTCACTCCTCAGCCGCCTGTGTCCGTACCCACAGCAGGCCCCCATTCACCCGCACACACACACCCTCCGCTCTGTGTGGTGGCTGCCACCAGCCTGCATCTTTTCAGACTGGATCCTCAGGGCCACCGTGGCCAGGGTGGGGGCATTCAGGGCAACCAGAAACCAGAGGAGAGAGGAGGCCCAAGAGCTTCATGTCTTGCTGGCTCCTGGGGGAGGAGACGGGGGCATGGGAGGTGCCAGCCCTGAGCTCCCGTAGCCTCCATGGGGGCACTTAGGGGTTTGGCACTTGAACAATGAGACCCAGGTTGTAGGAAGTGGGCGGGGCCTGCACACCCACCTCTGTGATCTCAGGAGGGACAACAATGCTTTCTCCCGCAGCCTCTGGCAGGCCTGGTTGGGGAAGTCAAACAGGAAGAGGGTTCCTGTGCTCCCTGTGGACTTCCCCCTCAACACACACACACCGGGAGTAGACAGAGTTGCCTGCTCCCCACACGCTGGCCATGGAACTCCGTCTGGGCGGCTTCCAGAAGATGTACTTGTGCCCTGGTAAAGCCTCTGCAGGACCAGTGCCCAGGCAGGGCAGCAGCTGCCACCTCTGCGGGCCCTGCTGCCTAAAGCCTCCCCTCCTCCTTGGGTCACCCAGGCCCGGGCTCCGCTGAGTGCTGACTTCATTCCAGATGGATCAAGATGCAGAGCGTGGGCTCCAGGACTCCCCTGCCACCAGGCCCTTCTCTATGGACGAGGTTAGAGGAGCATGAGTAAAACGTTAACAAATCCTCTCTCTGCCCACTGAACTTGACATTTGATGACTTTCCTAGTTCTGTTCCCCTGGAAACCAGATAAAAGTGGAATGTCAACTGTGTCAAGGCGCCATCACTTAGGGTAAAAATGCCCACTGACTGTACATGTGCATGTACCCCTGGGAGCTCCAGGGGTGAACGGTAAATGCTGCCTCAAAAGCCGCAGCTCTGGGCTTCCTGAGTGCAACCGCTCAAACCGGCCAGAGGGCCCGCAAGTCCCCTCACCCCAACCTCTCACAGCCAAAAGAGCCCAAAGGAGGGAAAGGACCTAGGCGAAGCTTCATAGGGAATGTGTGAGTGACTGGAACCTTGGCCTTGGAGTCAGGTTACTAGGTTTCAAAACCCTACCTTGCCACTTCCTGCCCCCACTATGAAGACCGAGTGAAAGGAATCTAATTCACGTAGAGCAGTTTGTGTGGCACGTAGTAGGGACAACAAACAGGCTGGTTATCATCGGCTTAGACGCGATGGCGGAGCTGCTGCCCCTCTTGTGAACCCTGTACCACCTGACACCCAGGCATCGCGCCCAGCCCCCAGTCAGTGCGCAGGGCACAGTGCAGGCCTGAGCTGGGGCGGGCCTGCATTTCCCCTCGGCCCAGGAGGAGAAGGACAAACCTAGGCATTGAGGCGCAGCCTTTGAATTGCTGACCTTGGCTCCTTCCCGCCCTGGCTTTGTGTGGCTGCTGCACTCACCGCTGTCCCCCTGCACCAGAGGTCACATCCACACCCTGTCTTTCAGGGCGGCGTGCGTGTGTGTGTGCCTGTCTCTGCCCTCCAAGATGCTCGGGCCCCCGTGGGCATTTGGAAGGCAGCCTGTTCTGTAGGGACTGTGAGTCTCAGAGAGCTCTTAGGGGTCACTGTGTCCAAGCTCCTCATGTAAAGAAGAGAAAACTGAGGCCAAGAGAAGGGGAGTGAGCTGCCCAGTGAATGCACAGGGATTTGGCTGTCAGCCGATGAAGACACTGGCATCTATGTTGGTTTTTATTTATAAACAAACCGACATAAAATCAGTCCAGATGGCTGTGGGAGCAGCCGCGCTGCTGACTGGTTCACAAGAAAGCACAAGGGTGGTGGAGTGGATGGCACCGACTCAGCCTGGGCACCCTTCCCTCCCATCTACCACAGGACCTCCTTGGCCTAAGATCATCAGGCCCAGTCTTCTGTGGCAGCAGTTCTGGCCAGGGCACAGAGCTGTGGTAGAGACCGTACGAAGCAAGGGGCTTCCATGCCCACAGATGAGGCTTGGGGCTGCAAAGGGGCCACTGGGGAGAGAGAAGGGCAGGTGACAGGGACCCTCTCCTCCCCTTGCTGACCGGCGTGGTCAGGGCTTACAGGGTTATCCATTCCAGAGAGAAAGTGCCCTCAGGAGTGCCCTCTGCAAGGCCCATGCCTATCTGGAGAGGGCTCTGGGACCAGAGCAGAGCAGTCTCCCTCTTCCCGAAACCCAGGGTCTGGTGCAGGAGGAGTATTAACTAGAGGGTTTGGCCAAGGGCCAGAAACAATAAATTAGCAATACGACTTTTTAAGGTGGAGGTTCGCACCATGAGTTCAGAGTTGGGAGTCTGGTGAGAAGGCAGGAGCTGTGGGGCAACAGTGTGCCACACCACGCCTAGGAGGTGGTCAGGGCATGGGCACAGGTGTCATTCCAGGGCCTGTCTTCCAAAGCCCCAGGGCTGGCCTCTTCCTCCCACACTTGGAAGTGTTCAGTCAAAACTCCGGATGAGGCCAGCCCGGCCTGAGAAATAAATAGAGACCAGAGAGACTCAGCAGGGCTGAGGAGAGTGGCCCCAGCCTGGGCCCCACGCTCTCCCCTCCTCGCCCTTCACAGAAGGACGCCCAGTGGCAGGAGGGCCGGCAGTGGTAGCGTCACGGCCTCTGGTGTGCTGAGGCCTGGGGCGGCTGCCGGCCCTTCCTCCAGGGAGACTTGATCTCAGCTGCCCCGCTCAGAACTTGCCCTGCTTCAGCCGGTCAATGTGGTAGGAGAGCTTGAGCGCAGGCCCCAGTTTCAGACCCATGTACTTCATCATCACGTCACTGCGCAGCAGGAGCAGGGCCTTGCCATCGATCTCCTGGGGGAAGAGGGGGCAGCGCCATCAGAGGCCGGGCCATCCGACCACCCGATGCTGATTAAAGGACACTCAAGAAGTGCCAACCACATGGGGTCCAGACGACCTGCTGTGACACGAAAGCCTGTCTGTTCTTCCCTCTATCCAAGCGTCTCCTACAGAACGCACCAGGTTAGGCTCTTCACGTGTTTGCGCCATTCTCCTTCAGTTCCCTGCCTTCCCAACCTCAGAGACCTGGTTCAACTCCACCTCTTCTCGGAAGCCTCCCCAGCTGGCGGACCCTCAACTGTTCCTCTGTGAGTCATGGTCTCTCCTGAGCAGCAGGGACCCCTCTGTGAGCTGGCACAAAAGAGCCACTCACTGAGCAGTTGTGAGGCCTACGGCCCAAGAGTTCCTCCAAACATGGCTGCTGTGGAAGATGTACACGATCCGTGAAACCATCAGAGACATGAGGGCATCACGTCAGTAGGGCAGAACAGCACCGGGCTACGAGGAAGTGAGCTGGAACCCCGTATCAAGAATGTGGTCACAAGAGGACCAGGGACAATACCTGGCTGTGGAGCCAAGTGGCCACTTGCAAAGACACCAGAGGCTCACAGAGGGGCAGGTAGGTGATGGGGTACTGACGAGGCTGCAGAATTAAGGCCCACATTGTGAGAGACTCTGAGCTGAGCTGAGGCCCCTGTCTCACGTCAAGGCAGGCAGGTGAGACAGCAAGTGCTCCTTGGAACATTCAGTAGATTCCTATCCCTAGAACTGAGCCCTCAGGCCTTAAACACCATAGCAAATCACTGAAGCCAATTCTATACCAGAAAAGTGAGTCGAATACAGTGCCCAGTGGTCTGTCCAAGACCCAAGAGTCTAAGTTTTATGGTGTCTCCTATGTTAAGTTCCAAAGGACCTGGATCCACTATACAGCCTGCATCCTTTAAGAAACTACAAGCTGTAGAAGCAAAACTCCCAGTGAACATCGAGAGGTCAGACAGAGACACCTACATGTTTGCGAAAGAGGTCAGCGTGGGGTCCAAGCTGAGGGTCAGCTTCCCGGACAAACTGCATCACGTCCTCCACTGTCCATGAGGAGGGGTCCCGGCCACTGGGTCGAGCAGCATCCCGGCTTTCCAGGTATCGGTCCGACCCTGCGGGACAGGAGGGTGCCTACTGTGACGGGTGGGGACTGGTTCGTAACCCCCTACCGTGCTCTTGGCACATCTCAGTGGTCTCCCAGGTGACGCATATGACAGTGGCAGGGCCTAGCAGGGGAACTGGAGCAGCCTAGGTTTTCCACAATGGGCAAGTCCAATCTTCGTTTTCCAAAGGTAGATCTAATTTTTGGAAATGGTCCTAAGGAATTTTGCACCGAGGCTGTGATGCAGCCTGGACCTGAGATGCAGGCGGACACTGAGGTGGACTATTTGGGTTCAGTGGGGGCTGGTGATGAGGCTGCCCTTGCCTTGGCTCTGGGGACCATTTGTAGAGATCCTGGTAGATGGGCAAGATTAGAACCAAATTCTTTGGAACTGGGGAAGAAAGAAGAAGTGGTAGGTAGTGCCCTGGTCCTCTTCCGTGGCCTGGAGAACAGGTGACAGCACTACCACCTGATGCACTAAGGCAGAGGACAAGTTTTTGCCTTGGTTGCCAGGAATCTCAATGCTAACTTATTGCTCAGATTTTTATCTCACTTGGGGCTCAAACAAAGCTCTTCCCATTTCCCCTCTGGGGTCTGGGATCTCGATTTTGACCATCACCTGGTTATTCTGACCTCTTGCATGCTGTAATCCCCCTGCCTGGAATGTGCCTCACTCTGTCCCTCCACTTTTTCCTTTTCTTCTGGCAAACTCAAACCTCACTAAGCCAGTCCTGACTTCAAGGACAAGCTCTTTTATGAGAAGTTTTCGGTCTAATATTGATCTCACAAGGCACTGGGTGTTATCTCTTGGTTCCAGTTCATTCTGCAGTTTCCCGATTGTAACATTCTAGTAATCTATCCTCCATAAAGCAGCCAAAGGAACCTTTACAAACCAGATTGAATCAGGTCAATCCTCACTGAAAACCTCAATGTGAGGCCTTCCACTGCATGTGAAATGGAACCTGAGCTCCTTCTCATGGCCTCCTCGGCACCCCCCCCCCTCCCGGCCCCTCCTACCCTGGGCTTCATTTCGCGTTCCACTCACCTGTTTCCCTGTAGCCCACCCTCCTCTCACCTGCACTTCAGCACTCTAGACTTCTCTCCGATTCTCGAATAAGCCAAACTTTTACTCTTTGGCTTATCTGGAATGTTCTTTTTCCAGGTTTTTTCATGACTAATTTGTTTTCAACTTCTGGGACTGATCTCAAATACTGATTCCTCAAGGAAGCCTTCACTGATATCCTAGTACAACTAGTCAATTTCCCAACAGTCACTCTCAAACCAGTAACCCCCGGTTTTATCCCCTACACATGTATCTACCTAGAGTAGTTTTATGCATTCTATTTATTGTATGTTTATCGCCTATCCTCCTCACAGAATATAAGCTGTATTGCTCTCTGCTATGTCTCCAACACACAGAAGAGAGTCCAGTCTGCTACAGCAGATTTTCAAACACATCTGTTAAATCACTGAGCAGTCACACCTGACAGTTCCTTGTGTATTTCTCTCCTACCAGACTGTGTCTACTGAGGCAGGGCCTTGCTTTGCTCACGTCTATGTCCTCAGGACTCAGAGACGTCTGGCACAGCCACCAAGTGGCAGAGCTAACGCACATCCGTGAAGGCAGAGAGACCTAATCTTTAACGATCCTCCAATTTCCCTCATTCGGAGTCCCAGGTCTATGAGGCAAAGCATACTTTGCCTGGCAATTCTAGAAAACTGTCTTTTAGGCTTGTAGTTGGCCACTGACCAGACCAGGGTGACGTATGCTAGAACAAGCAGGATTCATTAGAGCCACAGAAACCTCAATAGCTTTTTAGAGGTGTCAGGAGACAGGGAGTTGGAAGGACTCTGTGAGCCAACCACTTCTGCCCTAAAAGCACACTGAAATGCTGAGACAGAGACCAACCACAGGGACACCAGAGAGCACAGAGAGGATTCTGGCAGACAGCATATGCATGAATGAGTCCTTCTTGCACCTTCTTAGGCAACTGCTCTGATCAGGGACTTGGATTCATATAAATATGTACACATTCATACTCATATAGAGAATAGTTTAAATAGGTAAATATACACATAGGTACTTCAAAAAGTTTGGGAAAAATGAGATTAAAATGAATGTCTGCTAGCCAGCGTTGTGGTATAGTGGGTAAAGCCACCACTTGTGGCACAGGCATCCCATATGGGCAGGGGTTTGAATTTTGGATACTCTACTTCCACTGTAGCTCCCTACTAATGTGCAAGCAGCAAAGGACAGCCCAAGTCCTTGGGCCCCTGCACCCATGTGGGAGACCTGGAAGAGGCTCCTGGCTCCGGCTTCGGACTGGCCCCTTCTGGCTGCTGCATTCATCTAGGGAGTAAACCAGGGGACTGAAGATCTCTCTGTCTCTCCCTCTCTCTCTCTCACTTTGCCTTTCAAATAAATAAATAAATCTTAAAAAAAGAATTAGCTTATTAAAAAAAGAAATATTTATTTTGGCTTAAATATACTGAAATCCATGCACATGAGACTTTAAAAAGCTCATGGAGGGGCTGGAGCTGTGGCCCAGCAGCTTAAACCTCAAGGCCTGCAGTGCTGGCATCCCATATAGGCACCAGTTCAAGTCCTGGCTACTCTACTTCCAATCCAGCTCCCTGCTATTGTGCTTGGGAAAGCAGCAGAAGATGCCCCAAGTCCTTGGGCCCTTGCACCCATATGGGAGACCTGGAGGAAGCTCTCGGCTCCTGGCTTTAGCCTGGTCCAGCCCCGGCCATTGCAGCCATTTGGCGAGTGAACCAGTGGATGGAAGATTTCTCTAACTTTCTCCCTCTCTGTAACTCTACCTTTCAAAATAAATAAATAAATCTTTAAAAACAAGTTCATGGAAAATGCATATCATTGAAAACTACGCATGAATTTCAATTTTTTTTGCACCCACACATCTTTTAATTCCACTTTCCATGAACTTCTTAAAATATCCTTATCTACATACTCTATTGGCTGAGTGTTTGTGTCACTGTAAAATTCACACATTGAAATCAACCTCTATTGTAATGACATTAAGAGGTTGGAGCTTTGGCAGACCCTTCATAAACACGATGAGTATGTGTACAACAGGCCTGCGTGAGGTCTCTCGTCTCTCTGGCCACATGAGGCTACAGGGAGGAGACAGCGTAAGTAGGCAAACAGCCCTCACCAGACACCAAATTGGGTGGCACCTGCATCTTGGACTTCCCAGTCTCCAGAACTGTGAGAAATGAATGTCTATGTCCCAGCCACTCAAAGGGACTAAGACACGCCACATTTCTAATGCTCTTAAGTGTCTGTGTGTGTGTCTGTCAGCCTCCTCCTGTGAGAATATAAATTCCATGAGTTCAGGTGGTGGAAGTTGTTAATTTTTACGGTGGTAGGAGAGACATCTCCGAAATGATGAATCTGAGCTAACACCTTGAAGCAGACGTTGGAGATTTAACAGGAAGGTCAGTGTGTTAGAGTGCAACGAGAAAGTGCTGAGAAATAACATCCAGGAGGCGTGGATACGTGTGCTGAGGGCAAGGAGGGACATGGTAGTACAGAAAACAGACCGTGTACGCCACTGAAACCACTGGTTCTCTGATTGAAACAGACACAAGGATCATTCTCACAGTCTGTACCAACAAGAAATTTCAGCAGGGCAAGGAGAGAAGCAAGGCAGAGCAGTTGAAAAAAGAAGCTGTATCAGTAATTCATGCAAGAGACCAATGTGGCATGCACGGGGTGGTAGAGGTGAGAAGTGGTCTGATATATGAATGGGATTCTATAAAGAACCCCACCAATGTCAACTCCTTTGACCTTAAAACAGCCTTTGAAGGAGGTATTATCACTGTCTTTAGAGAGGAGGGAACCAAGGCCCATAGGGAGTAAGTGACTTGCCTGAGACCACACAGCTAGGGAGGAGACGAGTTAACACTCTCTCTGCCCCATTCCTGTCCCAGGGTTGCCCATCCCAGTGTCCCCAGCTGGCAGCGGCTCTTCCAGCAAGGACAGCTGGCTCAGACTGAGAATGACTATGGCAAGTGACGTACATCTGCAGAGACCGGACTAACAAACCCATGCCTAATCATCCTGGATTAATGAAACACAACAGGAGATGGGCTTGGCTTGTGGTAGAATCCTCTCGTAGCCTTTTGGAATCGTCAAAAGCCGATTTGGACCACGACATGCCGGACCCAGGAGCCCCAGAGGAAGGGCGGAGAGGCATAGGGGACAGCAGTGCCATTGGAGGCCAGTGCTATGGGGGCAGCCTCTCCTGAAGCATTCCCAGCAGAAACAGGGTCTGGGGAAGATCACAATCACAGTAACTTCCCTCATACCTGGGGAATGATTTAACTTCCAAAATGGTTCCATATCCCTTCTTTCATTTGATCGTTTTAACACTCCTGTGGAAAGACCAGGTTGGTATTAGCATTTCCATTTTGCCCATCAGGAACATCTGCATGTGAGGAAGACCTGGGGGTGAGATGACTTACCCATACTTCAAGGCAGGGGCTGAGGCTAGAATCAGCTCTCCCCTCTGCCTCTACTTGAGAGTTTTGTACTCCATTTTGCGGCCTTCCTGGGGTTAGGGCAGGGTAGGGGCACCACAAGCTTCAGTCTTCATGAAAGCGCTCGCTCCTCTTTTCATTGCAAGCCTTGCTAATGGAGTCCTCTTATTCTTTCATATCCCCACATCCCTGGGCTAGGGAGGACAAACTGGGAGTATGGAAGCAGCATTCCCCTAATGCCCCCCTGCTGCTTCTAGACGATTCTCTCATGAAAGCCCATATTTTTCAGAGGCCAAACAGGTACCCAACCATCTGTTCTTCCTAGTCATTGCTGTCTAGAGATCCTGAGGTTTCTATCCCTGGTTAACAGAAGACTTTTTGGTACTCAGCTCATTATCTTCTGCTCTAGCCTAATTCCTGCCATAACCTTTGGAGGCAATCCGTTGAACTACCACCTCCACTTGACCTCATTTATCTACTGCCAAGGCCACTGTCTGTTGGGTCCTGTTACCACTAGGAATAAATCCACTTCAGAGTTAAAATATTCTAATCTCTGACCCCAACACCCCATCTTTCCAATTCTCTTGGGACTCACGTTCACTACACCCATGACATCACTGCGTTCTGCAGCTATCAGACTTGCCATCTCCCCGACCCTGCTTCTCTTCCTGTCCTCCAGCTCTAGAGGTTGGTGACTTAAATTACCTTCCCACAGCTCCACTGGTGTATTTGCATACTCTCTCACTTCCTTCCTCACTTGCCTTTCTAACTTAGCAAAAAACCTTAGTTCTCAAACTGTCTTTTCTCATCCCATATCTAGGTTACTAAGAACCACAGAAGAAAATCATAGCTTTTGTAAGTTGGCAAACTTATCTTTTAGCTGGATTCCTAATGTTTCCCATAAACTATTCCCTTCCCACTGATCCATCTTCTCCACCTTCTTTATGCCTAGTCCAATATTTCAGCACTCCTAAATTCTCTGCCATTCAGCCCTCTCTACCCACCAGTGGAGTCGACCAATCTTCCCTACCTGCTCAGAAAAGGCGTGCCTCCTCTGGCTTCACACTGATCCATTTATTTAGGACCTCCATCCCTATTCCTTCCTACCAACCTCAACCGAGGCCTTATTTTCTCCCCTTCATATATCCTTAATGTTTTCTTCTTGGAAGGCTCATGTTGTCTGCTGAAAAACAAGCCCAAGTGTTCCTGCTAAAAGATCTTCTTTGACTTACTACCATTTATTCCCCTCAAATACCCCCTAGTACCTTCACCCTCTGCAATCTGCTCTCACCGCTCCTGAAGTCACTGTTCCTAAAATCACCACTAAGAACCACATGCAACAGATATTTTTCACTCCCTATTTTCCTGAAACTTTGTTGTGCTGTGCTGGCCACCATAATATCAAATTCTTCGGTGTCCCCTCTCTTTGAGTGTTCCTTTTTCTCTTTGGTAGGCAGGTCTTCCCGTTCCCACTTCTGGAACTCAGGACTTTGGTCCTGAGAATTCCACATCTGGTCAACTTTTTGTTTCACTGTATGCAAACTTCTGGAAGATGGGTTTCACTCACCTTATCGTTTCAATTACTATCTATATTCTACTATAGTTAACTTTGGTTTAGTATTCCTTCCTAAGAATTAGACCTGCCTAACTGTTGCCTGCTGGTTTGAGATGACCTAGTAGCTCCTTCCTTTTCCTTCTCTTCTATGCTTCGTTCCCTCTCTCAGTGACTGGCACCACCATCTGTTCAGCTACCACGTCTAGAAACGTCAAGAGACATTCCCCATTCCCTTCTTCCTCAGCATCCTCAACTAACCAAATTTACTTTGTGAAGTTTTCAAATACCTTCTTTAGTCTTCAGACTGTCAATGCCCTAGTCCAGGCCTTTTGACTACTGGTCAGACTACTGGTCTGGCCTACTCTAGTGACCTCCTAACTGGTCTCTCTATTCTTATTCCTCCCAAAATTCATGCTGAACATAGTGTTCAACGGTCTAGTCCAAACACAAGCTGATGATGTTCCACCTCTAATGAAAAGCCTTCAGTAGCTTCACATGGCTTGTAAGATCAACTTCAAACTCTTCAGCACGGCATTCAAGGTCTTCTGTAAGTCCTGACCAGCCCCAGCTTTTCTTTATGCAGTTCCAGTGTTGTGTTTTACGTTTTAGAAATACCAAACTGCATGCAATTCCTTGTACCATCTGTATTACAAGCATACTTCAGAAAGTTTGTGGAAAATGGAACTAAAGATGAGTTTATTCTGGTGTAAAAAAAGTTGAAATCCATGCATTCCAGGGGTCTTCAAAAAGTAAATAAAAGTACATATTATAAAAAAAAACGATGCATGGTTTTCAAAATATCCTTGCAACACAATAAAATTACCTTTTAACTCCATTTTCCATGAACTTTTTGAAGTGCCCTCATCCATTGTATCCCTTTGCCTTTGCTCATGTTACTCCTTTTTCTGGAAAGTCCTCCTTTTTTCTGGAAACAGCCCTGATATGGTCACCCAAGGAAGCTTCCTTTGAACACCAAGCTTATGGGTAGGTGTCCATTCTTGCCGTTTTCATACTACCTGCAGCGCAACTCTGTTACTGTACTCAAGAAATTGTTTTACAATGTTTAAGTGTTTGTCTTCTCTATAAGACCAAGGACAAACAGTGATTGATTTCTGCCTTTCCATGCTAAATACAGATGGTGTTCACATAAATGGCTAAGGGATCAAGGAATGAGTCCTTCCTTGTCCCTTTTGGCTCTAGGTCTTTGGCTTTTAGTTCCTGCCATTCTCAAGCCAATCTCAGAGCTCCAATTACTTCTCAGGTGCTTGACCAAGCACAACAGTAAGACCAGCCTCCAGTGTCACCCCCAGACAGGAGGCAAAAGTACTTAGCTCTCTCTGGCCTCCCAGAGCTCAGGAAGAAAGGAAAAGAAAGCAAAAGGGGGTCCCAGAACTCTGGCCAGCTTACCCCTGGAGCACAACCTGCGCATGGCTAAGGCAGTGCTGGATGGGAAGCCACAGGAGGGAAGCAAGGGCCGGTACCCAGGAGTTCGTAGAGTTTGGGAGGTGCTGACAAGGCTGGTGGGATTCAGGGCAGAGTCCATTGAGTCTGAGTATGGCTCCAAGGACCGGGCCAGATTGTTTCCCAGGACAAAGGTTTCACCTAGAAAATAATAAAACCAGGGTTAGAGCAGGGACTATTTGTGGAGGGACCACCAGGGTGCTGGCTCCCAGGTACCTGTTTGAGTGGGGCATGCAGCAAGAAAACAAAAGACATGGCTTGTCATCAGGAGGCCTGAGTACTGGTCGTGGGTCTGCTCTCAGGTGGTGACCTCAGTCAAGCTTGATGCCAGTCTCTGCACTTGGGTCTCCTTAGAGACTCTTCCTCTTAGACTAGATGGTCTTACTTATCTGCATGTCTTATGCTTTTTCTGGACAAGGAAAATCTTAAAAAAAAAAAAAAAAAGAAAAGAAAGAAAGAAAGGAAGCTATTCTAGGATGGAAGAGACTGCTAGGGCAGGGAACAGGTGCTGAAGAGACACGCTTGCTCAGATGAGGGTGTGTTAGAAGCTGACCATCTGCTTGGCCAGCAGGACAGCTCAGATCTGCTTCTTGGTCCCTGGCTAAAGGCCTGTCTACAAAGGATCTGTTGCTACCTTCCTGCTCTCCTTTTGTATTTTCCCTGTTTGACAAAAGCATTCCAAGGAAGATGGGAGTGTGCAGTGGTAAGAGCTTGGGAGATCAGAATCAAGCTTAGAATTTGGCCCTGCAACTCAGCAGTGTTTCTGTCACAACTTCAGGGTCCTCATCTAAAACACGGCAAGTCCATTTCTTCCAAAGGACCTGTGAACTTACTAAGAGAATGTCTGTGACATGATGAAGGGAATCTCACCCTGATGCTTCTGCATCTAGTCCACAGCACACCAGGCAGCAGTGCCGCATCACTGCGCTCTGGAATCTGAGGCAGACTCCCTCTCAGGATTGGATCTAACCCAAACCAAGTCAGCTCCCCAGACACAGCAATCCTTGCTTGTGGGGGGTGTCTCGGTTAGCGGCCCTTAGCACCATCCTCTGTGGTTTTCCTTAAAGATCAGGTATTTAGATAATGCTTGGGATTCTCTCAGGGCCTCCAATGCACACCAGCCCAAGAACAATGTTTGGCACATGGGATGTCAGTGGCAAGATGGTCTAGGATTTCAAAGCTCCTTCTTAATATTTGTGTGGGCTTCAAGTCATTAATATTTGTCCCAGGGAGGTTAATCATTGAGCCCATTCCTAGGAGTAGTTCTGAAAGGAGAAGTCTCTGAGGCTCCAAAATACCTAAGCCTTACCCCATCCCCTTTCCATAGCTGAAATTTTGGGTTTTTGTTTTCTAGGCAAGATGACAGTAGCAGTGTCCCCCTTTGAGACATGACTAGGAACTCAACCCCCAAAGCAGGAAACCTTGGCTCAGTACTTGGGCTCTTGTCTTTCACGAGCTATGTGATCTTTGAAATACCAGTGATTCTCTGAACACCAGTTTCCTCATCTGTAAAATAAGGAAAAATTATCCCCTGCCAGGCTAGGAACACCAAATGAGAAAATTGAATAGATGGGCTTTATGAATATGCAGAACTATTATTTTGTTTTTTTATTCAGAGTTAGAATGGCAAACCTAACCTCTCTGTGACAGTTCAAGAAAAAGATTTAATCTGAGTTTTGTAGTGCGGTACTCTCCCTTTGCTAGCCCTTGTTTTACTCAGCTAAGATGGGTATAGTCCTGCCTGCCTCACGTGAAGAACAATTCTGATGACAAAGCCAGGGGCTCAGCAGATGCTGGTGAAAACCACTGTGTATCTCCTCTTTTCAGCAATTTTAAGAACGCTGAGATCTGGATCCTGAGTTGTGGGGTGTGAACATTGGGACTGAGGACACCTGAAGTAGACCAGGTCACTAGATCACTAATCTTATCCTAATGAGATATACTGGACAAAATGAGGCATCATGCCTGATGCTTTGGGAAATCCTTATCTTATCTGATCAAATGGTGCCCTGAGTGAGTCTGGTAGGACAATACACTTTCCATCTTTGACATTCAAGAAGTCAATGTTTACAATCAAGCTTTCCCCTGCATGGGGTAGCAGGGAGCCGGACTGGAAGAAGAGCAGCAAGGACTTCAACCAGTGTCCATGTGGGACAACACAGTCACAGGTGGTGGCTTAACCTGCTATGCCACAATGCCAGCTCCAATGAAAATAAATTTTAAAAAATTAAACATTTTATTATAAAGTTTATTTTAGTGTAAAACTATTTAGTGTAAAACCCATGCATAAATTTTCATAATATGCATTTTCCATGAACATTCCTGGAGATTCCTCATATGTATAGATTTCAAAATTTTTGTACCAAACTAATATCTTTTAATTCAATTTTTTTCACAAATTTTTGAGATACTCTCTTATTCTCTAGTTCTTATATCCTATTTAAGAATTCTTTAAGAAATATCTCTTTATACTAGCAGCTACAGTCATGAACCTGCTGCCTCTTCTTGTGTATCCATTCTTTCAGAATCCGGGGCAGGCCCAACTTTCACTAATGAAATGCAGACGAATGTTCCTGCATGCCAGTAGCTAGGAATATTTAACACCTTGCTTTTGTATTGACTCTACCATACTCAGTCAAGAAAGGCCCCCACACAACATTCTACCTGCAAGTAAGAATGTTACTTTCTATTTTCAGAGGCTCTGATGCTGAAAGAAAGCAATTGAAAGCAGGTTAGGTGAGAAGTTCTCACTATTCATTCTGGTCCCCATGAGGAATATTTAGAATTCAGGTGTCTCTGCCCTGCTTGAAAGTCTCATGAGTGGGGCCGGCACTGTGGCTCACTTGGTTAATCTTCCGCCTGTGCTGCCGGCATCCCATTTGGGTGCCGGGTTCTAGTCCCAGTTGCTCCTCTTCCAGTCCAGCTCTCTGCTGTGGCCCAGGAGGGCAGGGGAGGATGGCCCAAGAACTTGGGTGCCTGCACCCGCGTGGGAGACCAGAAGCACCTGGCTCCTGGCTTCGGATCGGCGTAGCTCCGGCCGTGGCAGCCATTTGGGGGTTGAATAAACGGAGGGAGGACCTTTCTCTCTGTCTCTCTCTCTCTCACTGTCTAACTCTATTTGTCAAATAAAAAAAAAATGAAAGTCACATGAGCAATACTCATTAGGATGTAGATGTATAGATGGGGACAGGAGAGAAGAGGACTAGGCAAGTAGTTGCTTCCCTGAGCACATTCTCAGAAGTGGCACTATTATTGGAAGTAATTCTGTTAAAACTATGATGAAAACATAACATGGCAGGCAGTGTGGGATAAGACTTATGTAGAAGGTCAGAGGGCACACCTTTCTTCCTCCCCATCCTCCTGCACCCTCCCCTTTCCTCCCTGCCCCCAACCTCTCTGCACAGGACACACTCCACAGGACTCTTAAAGGACCTCTCCTCCCTCTTTCTTTTTAAATTTTTTAAAAGATTTACGTATTTACTTGAAAGTCAAAGTTACAGAAAGGCAGAGCGAGAGAGAGAGCGAGAGTGAGAGCAAGAGAGAGAGAGAGAGAGAGATCTTCCATCTGCTGGTTCACTCCCCAAATGGCCTCAATGGCCGGAACTGAGCCGATCTGAAGCCAGGAGCCAGGAGCTTCTTCCAGGTCTCCCACGCAGGTGCAGGGTCCAAGGACTTGGGCCATCTTCTACTGCTTTCCTAGGCCATAGCAGAGAGCTGTACTGGAAGTGGAGAAACCAGGACTTGAACCGGTGCCCATATGGGATGCCGGTACTACAGGTGGTAGCTTTACCTGCTACATCACAGTGCTGGCCCCCTATCCTCCCTCTTTGAATAACCTACCTTGGTACATTTTGGGCTGAGCTTTCCTTCATTCCCTGTATTTCTGGGTGGTGGGCCCCAGATTAGAGATGCTGAGCTCAGTTTACTCTTTAACCTCTCCGGGAAGTGCTTAGTCATTGATCCGGGACACATGGCATCGCTTTCCCCTTGTGGGTCTGGTATGTTAACTAAGAAAGTTATTTTCCAGCCAAGTCAGAAACAGCAGGAACTTGAACTGACTTGCCAGACTGGCAGTACTGCAAGAGTTAGGGCCATGTGCCAAAGGAAAGAATGGATGGCCAATCACCAGGGAGCAAATTTCTCAATCAGTTGCCTGAGAATAATTCTTTCTGCTGGCAAGAGCCATCTATGTTAGGCTTTTGCCGCCAGATCCACACTGAGAGTTCTGTGACTTCACAGTGTTTCCACACGCAGTTTGGAGCTCGGAAGGCAAATCATGAACCACTTTTTTTTTCAAGGAATAAGGGTCCAGAGGAAAGAAAGGTGATCACAGAGATGGAAGACAAAATCCTGAAGAGAGAGTAAAAGTGAGTGGAGACTGAAAAGTCCTAGATTGGGCCAAGGGCCAAAGTAAGGAACCAAAAACCAAAGTTCCAACAGGAAGCGCTAGGCAGGCGGGTTCAGCCCAGGCAGGTTCAGCTGGGCCCTGGACTTTCACAGCCGCTGCTGCTGCTAGCCTCGCCGCCCGCCCCTCCCCCGCCCCACCCCATCAGCCCAGGCCCCATCCCAACTCCTACCTGGTAGGTACCTGTCGTGGCTATGGCTGTATTCTGTGGCAGTGAGTGACAAATGAGTCTGTGTAAAGGGCTGGTTGCCAAACAGATTGTCACTACGAAGGTTGTGGCAGAGTTTCTCCAGGAAGCGGAGGACGTAGGTGATGCTGTTGACTGCTGGAAGATTGAGAGTATGCTGCTCTCGGTCAAACACGGCTGTGGAGTTAAGTAAACAGGGCCAGGCACGTCAGCCGGCAGTGCAGTGCGGTGTGCAGCGGGGCGGGAGGGGCCCTGCCTACTGCTTGCCTGAGGCTCACCTGGTTACACAAAGGTAATCTGTGCGGCCTTCCTCCCTGCCTCCCCTCACCTCCCTCCCTCCCTCCAGGGCTTTGATTTTTGCCTCCAACTCAAAAGGGCTCGCAATAATGGGAGTGGCCAGGCCAGGCCTATTGCACCCTGGGGCTCTGGAAAGATTTCACTCAACCTGTGAAAACAACTGTGAACATGATTCTATTTGCTCCATCACTTGGCTAGGCCTCCTCCAGGAAATCTGTTCACTTAGGGTGCTATTTTCACAAGCACTGCCTAAGAACTGAGAAGTTGGACAGAGAGGAGACTAGAACCATTGCCAGCAATAGTTTATGTACACAAATTTCAATCTATTTAAGGGTTTGGGAATTTTGGGAACATTTGGAACTGTTTCATGCTTGGCTTGATTTTACTCTCCCTTCCTATTAAAACATCAACATATTTTTTCTTTAAATTTTTATTTGAGGGACAAGCATATGGCACAGTAGTTAAGATCCCACTACGGATGTCTGCATCTCATATCAGAGCACCTGAGTTTGAGTCCTTGCTCGGCTTCAGATTCCAGATTCCTGCCAATGTGTGCCCTAGCAAGGCAGCAGGTGATGGCTCAAGGGAGTTAGGTCCCAGCCACATACAGGGCACACCAGGCTGAGGTACCAGCTCTTGGTTCCCAGTCTCAGCTATTGCAAACATTTATGAAGTGAAAAAGCAGATGAGAGGTATATGTCTGTCTGTCTCTGTCTCTCTGCCTTTCAAATAAACAGAAACATTTTAAAAAATTGACCCATAATATTTGTACATATTTATGAGTTAGAATATGATAGTTTGGTACATGCATACAATTCATAATGGTCAAATCAGGGTAATTTTAAAAAATATTTATTTATCTGAGGGGCAGAGTTACATATAGAGAAAGAGACAGAGAGAGACAGAGAGAGAGACAGAGAGAGAGACAAAAAAGTCTTCCATTTGCTTGCCCCAATGGCCAGAGCTGGGCCGATCTGGTGCCAAGAACCAGGAGCTTCCTTCGGGTCTCCCACATGGGTACAGGGGCCCAACTACTTGGGCCATCTTCTGCTGCTGTCCCAGGCAGCAGCAGGGAGCTGGATCGGAAATGGAGAGGCCAGGACACGAACTAGCGCTCGTATAGGATGCTGGTGGCCCCAAATCAGTAATTATCAATTCCATCTCCTTATACATTCGCTTTTTTTTTTTTTACTCTTCTAGTTATTTGGAGATGTATCATGAAATTATGTAGATTATAACTACCCTAATGTATCAGCATGATTTTTAAAGGAAGGCCTGCATATTTGCCTCTAAAGACAGCACCATTAAATGGGAGTTTGGGAGCTTGGTTACTCTAGGGAGCCAATTTTGGGGCAGGGGAAGAACCCTAGAGAAGGTACATGTGATAGAGTGAAAGAGGAAGGAACCGAGAGGTCCCCTGCAGACTGCTGCACCGAAGCCAAGCAGAGGACAGATAGGGAGGAAGTGGGCCTCAAGGACACGGGGCCTCATCTCCCAGGCAGTTCCCACTCTTCTGTGGTGATTTCTTCCCTATCGCCCCTCCTCCCCATAGCCAAGCATTCCCTTGTCTTGGCTCTCACATATTTCTCTATTATAACGCTTCTCATGGTTAGCTGTTTCAGACCTGGGCCTATCATCCACCAGAGTACTTCAAAATTTCATGCAAAATGGAGTTAAATTTATTTTGGGGCAAAAAAATTTGAAATCCATGCATATGGGGGGTATTCATGGGAAATTAATATTTTGAAAAAGTTATGCATAGATTTATTTGGGCACCAAAACAAACTTCTCTTTTAATTCCTTTTTCACACACTTTCTGAAGTACTCTCTCCACTCCTGGCCATTGTTTGGCAATAGTCTCTGACATGTGGTAAAGGTTCAAGAAATGTTTGCTAAAAGAATATGGCTTGGTAATTTATAGGGCTTCTCATCTCAGCTGGGTTTCCTGAAGCTGGTTATTGAAACTCGTTAGGAATGGGAGTGGAGAATTATGGGATAGCATTACTGAAAGGCTCTAGGTTGTCTCCGTAGGTTTTGTGGGTAAGAAATAGGGGTGTGGACTTAGGAAAACTGAAACAGAGGCAAAGCTCAGCAGAAAAAATAAATATCTTAAGTGAGAGCATAAACCATGGTGCTATTGAATCAAAATCTCACAGCAGGGAAGGAAGAGGCATGACCCTTCCTACTCTGCCCTACAAGGGATTCCTGCAAGGGATTCAGCTCCCTTATATTGGGCTTGGCAGAGGACTGCGTAGCTAAGGAGTCAAAGGAATGACAAAAGAGTTTAGCAGTTAACAGAAGCCAGGATGGAAAAACTGTCTTTCTGCCGTAACACTGCCCCTCTGGATTATTTCTTCTGGAAAGTCTTAAAGCAATATACTTATTTATTTTCTGTTTGGGAGAAGTTAAGCGGGAAGACAGTAGGAGAGAGAACTCTGTTTTGAGGCTTAAACAGAGTCCGATGTATTCTTCTTGGGTGTTCTTCTTGGCAGAGGACCTTTTGAGGAACAGAATACCTTCATGTTTCCCCAGAGACTACAGGTTTCCTGTAGGAACCACAACACCCTCTCAGAAATCAGGTGAAGAAGGCCTGCCTCTCTGGCTAGCGGCCACACCAGCCTAGGAGTGCTTACCTGAGATAACTTCGCCACCATGGCCTTGTTTGAGGAAGCTGAAGACAGTTTTCTGGTGATGAGCACAGTCAATGCAAGCCTGGACAGCCTGCTGCAGCACCACCGAGGCACGGGCAGGCCCAAAATGGTCAGGGAGCTGCTGGACCTTCTTCTTATCTAAGTGGGGGCCTGTGCTGCCGTTCTTGTTCAAGTAGATACAAACTGCAGAAGACAAAGCGTCAAAGAACCTTGAAGACCTCCAGTGTTCTCTTCCATGGTTTACACCCTGTACCTTGGTCCCCAGCAGGATTTCCAGCAGCTGAGCTGGTGAGACCCGGTGGGACATGCAGGGGCTGGAGCTACCAGAAAAGGCTGTACGCCCTGATGCTGCCAGCCCAAACTGCATGACTGACCAAAGGCACTGGGAATCCAGTCTGCTGGGAGAACAACCCAGACCAAAGGGTAAGGCAGAATTTGCATTTTGTCGTGTGTGCACTGAAAATAAAATTAAACAATTTCCCAGATGTCTGGACTTGAATTTTCTGTGCTTGGTTACTTCGCATGCTCTTCATACTTACCACTTCGTATGTTAACGGATCTATGGAGTCATGGCAATAGCAGTAAAGTGTGTGTATGGGTGTGGGTGTGTGCATGTGTGTATGTGTGTTACCCTTTGGAAGTGAAATGGTCACACTGCTGGCCACTTTCCTTGTTTTCTCTTCGAAGTCTTAGAATCTATTTACTTATCTTCCAAATCAGCCCTCGGGCCCAAAGAAAGTAGTAAAAGTAGGAAGAAATGGAATAAATAAAAACCATGAAAAAGGCCTGAAGGTCCCATTTACGTATTTGCTTGTTTGGGTAGTTTCTCACCTCAAGACAGCTGGGCACTCGCCTGGCTGCACCCTGCACCTGGCACTGTGGAGGGGAAGGACAGCGTGGGCCCACCCTGAACAGTTTTCCTCTGGTCTCTGGAGAGGCCCCACCGGCAGCCTGGTCAGCAGTGACGTTCTGTCCCCTTATCTGCGGCCCAGAGGGGTTCTTTCCTTTCTTGCACTGTTGCAGGGGGGCCCTGACTGAAGGGATAGGAGGGCAAGTTTTTTTGCTATTAAAGACAAACGAGATAATAGTAGTAGCTGTGGGGGCTATTGATGGATGGCAGGGTCACCATCTGTGAACTGAGCAGGCTGAGCTAGAGGCCCTCTGCGGACTCTCCAGCTTCATAATTCTGAGAAGCAACATGGAGAGAATAAAATAGAAAATAGTCGGGAGGAGGAAGTGAAAGGTACAGTAGCAAGACAGAAGAAATGGGTAAATGACACTGAATATATGCATTTAACTTTCTTCTCTCCTAAAACTCACTGAGATGAGCCAGAGTAAGAGAACACAGCAACTTACACACACTTAAATAAATATACACACTTAAAAAAATTTTGGAAGCTGGAAAGCAGATTAGAAAAATCGCAACTGACTTAGAAGAACCAAGAAAGCAATTCATAAAAGGCGTAAACACCAGCAGATGAAGTGTCTGGAGGTTGCTGTGATGGTGGATCCAATAAAAGGATTGGCTGAGGTCTATTTAGAAACTGGATTTCCATGTCTGGTAATGTGACACTTGTACTGAAATAACTGAAAATTCAGGAACTCAAAAAGAAGAGGAGTAAGTGAAAACAAATATCTATGAAAAGACATGAGTGTTTATAGAAGTTTAGTCATAACAACCTTAAACTAGAAGCAGCCCAAATGTCTCCAATAAGTGAACAGATACATAAATTGTGTTATATCCTTTTAGAGAAGTACCTTTGGGGAGTAAAAAAGGGCACAACAGCACATTGATTGTCAAAAACATTATTTTAGGTGAAATAAACCAAACACAAACAAGTACACACAGTGAGTTTCATTAAGTTCAAGAACAGGAAAATCTAATCTCTGGTGATAAAAAGTAGACTACAAATGAAGAAGTAGAGACTGACTGTGAGGAAGCATGAGAGAACTCCGGGGGGTGGCAGAAATATCTTCATTTAATTATGCAGGAGCTTACATTTATTAAACTTGTCATTTTGTATACTTAATATTTGACCTTCCACTGATGTAAACTTTACCTTGCATAGAAATGCACAGAAAGGAAAAAATACAGCCAGTCGGGTGATGATTAAAAAAATAGTGAAATAGGGGCTGGAGCTGTGGCACAAGTTAATCCTCCAACTGTGGTACCAGCATCCCATATGGGTGCTGGTTCTAATCCCAGCTGCTCCTCTTCCAATCCAGCTCTCGGCTGTAGCCTGGGGAAGCAGTAGAGGATGGCCCAAGTGCTTCGGCCCCTGTACCTGTGTGGGAGATGGGGAGGAAGCACCTGGCTCCTGGCTTTGGATCGGCAGGGCTCTGGCTATTGTGGCCATTTGGGGAGCGAACCAATGGAAGGAGGACCTTTCTCTCTGTCTCTCCCTCTCCCTGTCTGTAACTCTACCTCTCAAATAAATAAATAAATAGTCTTTTTAAAAAAATAGTGAAATACAAAACCTTTAAATGTCTGTCAGTTTTAAAACATGGCCCCGAAATTCTTTGCCATCCCTCCTTGTTGTTCTGTCACATTTGACTAATAGGCAGACAATGATAGAGAACAACACTATGTTAGATTCTAGGTATGTCGATTAAGAAACTGGCAGCTTCCACTTCTTGTTTGGGTCATTCATTCATTCTTGGACCCCAACTACTGTGCATAAGGAAGCAAAACCACCACGTGGAGAGGTTCACATGGAGACAAACCACAGCCTAAACCAACTTGTCAGTAACACAGTGGAAATGGATTCTCCAGTCCTGGTCAGGCCACTTCAGTTGACACTGCATGAAACAGAGACATGTCTCCATGCAGCCTTGCCCATATTGGTGATTCAGGCCATGAAGTTTTATGATGGTTTGTTGTATACAAAAGATTACTGGAACAGATTCCAGTAGCACATATAGGTGCTTCAGTAACAAAAGCCTAACTCAGGCACTGGTTTTGGAACAGGCTAGCAGAAAAAAGCATAGAGGGCCACAGAGAGAGTGAAAACTGAGAGTCTCCAGGAGAGTTTTTTCAAGGAAGCCTGAAGGTTCTTAAGGAGGCTGTCAACAAAGGTTTAAAGAAAAGTAAAGAAATCTTACTGGAAGACAGAGACAGGGAATACTTGCTACAGAGTATGTGAGAATTTGATGGCATTGTTGCCTGCAGTAACACGGAAATAGGAAATGTTCCTAAGGAACTGAAGGAAACAGCTGAGGAGGTTTGCAGACAGCATCATGAAAATGCCATCTGGGTGCTTCTTATCGAATGTAACGAAATGTAAGAGGGCAGATGAACTCACAAAAATGTACACATACATACACCTGGGATTTGTAGAGTTAACAAATAAAATTGCTTCTCATTTCCAGTCTCTCTAGAAGGCAAACAACTATAAATTAAGTAAGGGCCAAAGATCAACTCTAGATTGGGATAATACAATCCTTTCTTAAGATGTTAGAAAGATCTAAAACTATGCTTCATAGACTCGTTTAGTGCAGAAAGTCTCTATGAATATTAAGGGAATGACCCGCAGATGCTTGCCCATAACAGGAAATTTAAGCATCTTAAGAGTATTGTCCCAGAGCAGCTGCACAGGAGGCCCTAAGCAGAGAAGGGCTTATCTTTGAGAGATCTGTGGTTGGTTGTGCCATTTGTTTGATGAAGTGATTCTGACAGTATTCAAAGAAAACTCCTCAAATTTCTAAGAGAATCATTCTGGCAGAAGCTTTGCCAGCTTGGACTAAAAGGGACAGAGATGGTACAAAATGGGAAAAATCCTTTAGATCCCTGACCTTTCACAGGCAGGAGGAAAACTGAGAAGACAATCTCAGTTTCGCATGGTAAAGAAAGGATGATACAGAGGGGAAAACTAAGATGCATAGAAAATAATTCCTAGGCAGTAACAGTGGACCTAACTAAGGAGTTGGCAACATGTGCCTAGGTGCATTCCAGAATTTCTACAAATCAGTGAATACTGCATGCCTCAATTTTCCTTCCTTTTGAATGGGAATTATAAAAGTTACCTTATGCCCATCCCACAACTGTATGTTGTGAATGTGGTGAGCACACAACTTGTTTCTTTAGTTCACAGGTCATCAGATAGAGAAAAATCACACACGGAGAAGAGTGTACCTGAGGTGCACATCTGAGTGGCCTATGTGCACCTGGACCTGATTTAGATGATGAGATCCTGGTCCTTGAACCTGATGCTGTAAAGGTATGAGACTTTTTTTTTTTTTTTATGAGAAACCTTGTGAGGGGGAAGAATTAAGTTTGCAGAAAGGGACAAAAGGAACAATATAAGTAATTAATGCCCAGAAAGTAGACTAATGTGTTTTAAAATACGGTCTATAATTCTTTGACCCTCCTCTCATCAGGAAGTGGGGTCTATTCTCTTCTTGAATCTGGACTCTGTGCTGGACCATTAGAGTATGGTGGAAATGATGCTATGCTAAGTTTGGGGCTCAGGTCTTCAGAAATGGTAGACTCCACTTCCTGCTCCTTGGGACAACTGCTCTTGGAACCCAGCATCCATGATATAAGGGAATCCAAGATATCTTTTGGAGAGGATTTTGTGAGAACTAATGATATCCAGCACCAATTTTGCTAGCTACATGAATGATCAATACTTAGCCCCAATTAAGCCACCCCAGTTGATGCCATCAGGAACAGATGAGTTGCCTTAATTTTAAGATAGCAGAATACACTGATACTCTCTAATTAATGCTTATCATCTTGTTTTAAAAATCTTCCTGGTGCTAAAGTCATAAACATATTTTTGTATATTGTTATGCTTTGATTTTCTCTTGCATCCCTGAAATCAAAATTGGGAGTTGTTAAAAAAAATCAGAGAAAGGTTCTGTCACATAAGGAGCTTGAAAGTCATTACTCAATTCTTAACAAGTAGAAGCTGAACAAATGAAAAATCAATAATTTTTTTTACATATGGAAGGATAAGGTCTTAGGGAAAACCACTGCACCCCACATCTGGAGAAACACAACAGAGAGAATCACAACTCAGAGGAGCAGGAATACCTCTGGGACCCAGGAGGGGGTAGGAAACCTACACTGTACTGGGTGAACTGCTAGAGGCTTTGTTGAAAACACTGCCATGTCCCAGTCACGGCATGGGCGAGTCCTCAAGTTTTGTGTCTGACCGCCAGGAGCTCAGCTAGGTTCTCACAATAAAATTCAGAGAAAAATCCCCTGGAGCTTTCGGCAGTGGTCAGAGTGGAGAGGAGGGGAGTGCAGGTGAGAGGAAGCACTCTGAAATACACCAGAGGACTTTGTTCTCAACAAAGTCTTCTTCCCTCAGGAAAGACTATTTTATCACATCCTAACTAATGGGCATTTTTCAGAGCCATTTCTGGGAGAGGGGTGTGGGATGAGCTCCACGTGGGAGAAGGGAAACATGTCACTCCGTACTACTCTGGCTGTCCTGTCCAACCTGAGGAGCACCATGAACACAGCGTGAGGGCGTAGGTTCACTAAAGGAGTGAGATCTCATTACAGGACTACAGAATGCTTCTCCTTCCCCATGCCTTACCACCACATCACTAAAGTCCTATGTAATACGGACCTTTTATCTAGGGCATCAGGCCCAGTTATCAAGAAAAAAAGTACGCAATACAAGCATACTCAAAGACAAAAAGCACCGTCTGCAGACAGAGTGGGGCTCAGAGGCAGATTCAGATATGGCAGGGATGTTGGAAAGATCAGACTGGGCATTTAATATGGTTCTAATACGCTAAGCAATCTAATGGATAAAATAGGCAATATGCAAGAACAGACAGGTAATGTAAGCAGAAGGATGGAAATTCTAAGAATCTAAGAAAAGAAAACTAGAGGCCAAGAACTAACAGACAAGCAATGCCTCTGAAGGACTCATTAGTAGAGTGACAAATGGCTGTGGAAAGCATTACTGAGCTTGAAGATGTCTCAACAGAAACTTTCCGAATTCAAACAGAAAAAAAGACTGAGAGAGAAATCATAATATCCAAGAACCGTGGGACAGCTGCAAAAGGTATAATATATGAAGGATGGTAATACCAGATGAAGACAAAGAGAAAGGCACTGAAGCAAAGGGCGGAGAATCTCCCCAGTTAGTGACAGACACCGAACTACAGATCCAGGAAGCTCAGAGCACACGAGGCAGAAAACATACCAAAACCCCTCCACCTATGTGCATCATTTGCAATCTCAGAAAATCAAAGGTAAACAAAAACATCTTGAAGGAAGACAGAGGAAAGAATCCCATCTCATTTATAGAAGAATAAATAAAAATAAGCACACCTAACATCTCCTCAGAAATAATGCAAGCAAAATGAGGTGGAGAGAAATATTTAAAACATTGGGAAGAAAAAAACCCATAACCTAGGATTCTGTACTCTTGTGAAATTATCCTTCAAATACGAGGGAGAAATAAAAACAAATTCAAAGAGTTTGTTGGCAGTAGACCTGCCTTGCAAGAAATGTTTAAAGTACTTTAGATAGAAGGGAAATGATACAAATCTGAAACTTACATCTAAAGGAATTATATCAGAGAAGAAGTAAGTGAAGATAAAGTAAAAACTTTTACTTTTCTTATTCTTAATTGATGTAACTGGTAAAAGTTTTGTTCAAAATAATAATGGCAATAATGTATTTTATTATATGTGCTTGTATATGTTTATCTATAAGTGAAATGATTAGTAATAACATGAAGAATGAAAAAAAATTAGGATTATAAGGCATCAAGCTACCTGTGAAGTAACATAGTGTTATTTGAAAGTGAATCTGGATTAATTTTAAGTGTACATTGCAAACCCCAGAGTAACCACCAAGTAGAAATTAAAAATTATAAATTACATTAAGGAGAGAAAATGAGTCATAAAATGCTCAATTAAAATCAGAAAAAGAGGAGAAAATAAACACAGGAAAAAAGAAGGACAACAAACAGAAATAGTAACAAATATGGTGGGCATTAATCCAATTGTATCAATCACTTTAAATTCCAGTGGTTTAAAAATATCAATTAAAATAGAGACAGATTTTCAGAATATATCAATAAACAAGTCCCAATTATATTTATCTACAAGAAACTGAAAAATTCAAATAGATCAAAATTAGATGGGTGGTGAAATATACAGCATACTAACATTAATCCAAAGAAGGCAGAAATAGCTATATTAATCACAGAGCAGAGCTCAGAATAAGGAAAATCATCAGGGAAAGTGAGAGGTTTACATACTGATAAAGAGATTCATTCTTCAAGAAGACACATCAATTCTTAACATGGTTGTACTTAACAACACAATATCAAAATTTGAAAGTGAATGTGGATTAATTTTAAGTGTACATTGCAAACCCCAGAGTAATCACCAAGTAGAATTTAAAAATTTATAAATTATGGTAAGAAAGGAGAGAAAATGAATCATAAAATATCAATTTTATGGAAGGCTTAGTGTCAAAGATGCTGTTTGGGATGCCCACATTCTACAATGGAGTACCTGGGTTCAGTTTCTGGTTCTGGTTCCTATTCCCAATTTTCTGGCAATGGAGGTGCTTGGAGGCAGCAGTGAGGGCTTATGTGTTTGGTTCCTGCTATCCACAAAGGAGCCATGGATTGTGTTTCCAGTTCCTGGATTCAGCCCTGGCCCAGATTCAGTTGCTGGCACTTGGGGAGTGACTGATAGATGGAAGAGCTCTCCCTCTGTATCTGTCTTGCTCTTTCTTTTAAAGTAATAAGTGATGCACAAGATAAACACAGATAAAAATCCAAGGAAAAATAGTTGAATCCATTATTATAGTTCATTTCTATCAGAAATGAACACATTCAGCATACAGAAAATCACTACAGACATAATTGAATTTAATAGCATCACCAACAACTGGGATATGACTGAAATCTATCAAGTATTTCATCCAACAATATCATAATACATATTCTCCAGTTCATGTTGAATATTCACCAAAACAGACATTCTGGGCCATAAAATACACCACAGCAAATTTAAAATAATAGAAATCACAGTCTTCTCTCAGGCTACAATGGAATTAAACTAAAAATCAATAACAGAAAGGTAGGTAGAAAATTCCAAAATATGTGATTAAATAATACATTTATACTTCTAAGTAACATGTGGGTCAAAGAGGAAATATCAAGAAAAATTTAAAAATTTTTTGAACTAAATGAAAATACAATTTATCAAAATGTGTAGGATACAACAGTACATAAATTTATAGCACTGAATATATACATTAAAATATCTAAAGTTTAGTCATCTAAGCTTCTACCTTAGGAAATCAGAAAAAGATGAGGAGGTCTGGCATTGTGGTACAGTGAGTCAAGCTGCTGCTTGTGATGCCAGCATCCCACACGGGAGTGCTAGTTTGAGTCTTGGCTGCTCTGCTTTCAAGCCAGCTCCCTGTTAATGTGCCTGGGAATGCAGTGGATGATGGCCTAAGTGTCTGGGCCTTTGTCACCCACCTAGGAGACCTGAATGGAGTTCCTGGCTTCTCTTTGGCCTGGTCATTGTGGTCATTTGGGAAGTAAACCAATGAAAGATGTCTGTCTCTTTTTCATACTGTCATTCTGCCTTTCAAATAAATAAATAAATCTTAAAAAAAGAAAATAGGTGAACAAATTAAATCCAAAGTAGGCAGAAGATAAAAATAAAAATTACAGTCCCCTCATGGGAACTTCTGCCCTTACCAGAAGACAGGCAACAGACTCCACCCCAAGATGGCAGCCTCCATAGCTTGCTACATGCCTGATTAATAGAGTAACTATTTATTATTATTTTTTAATTATAGGTTATTATTTTGGACTTTGTGCTGGTCTTTATAGTTTTAGCTTATGCTGGTGGCAGCTTCCATGCTGGTCTTTCTTTTGGCTTACACTGACAGCTTTAATGCTTGTCTTTATTATTTTAATTTTTTATTTTAGTTATTTGTTTTGCTTTATGAAGCAGCACCAAAAATGATAAAAAAGAAAAAAATTATTTATTTATTTATTTTCAATTTTTTTTAAAGTTTTTGACAGGCAGAGTGGATAGTGAGAGAGAGAAACAGAGACAGGTCTTCCTTTTCCGTTGGTTCACCCCTCAATGGCCGCTGTGGCTGGTGTGCTGCGCCGGTGCACCGCGCTGATCTGAAGCCAAGAGTCAGGTGCCTCTCCTGGTCTCCCATGCTGGTGCAGGGCCCAAGCACTTGGGCCATCCTCCACTGCACTCCCGG